TGGTTTTTTTTTTTCAAGCCCGGCAAACACAGGCAGCCCTGTGCGGGTGGGGGCAGGGAAGGGGCTGGGGAGCTGCTTGTTCTGCTGGGGGAGGGAAAGGGGAGGCTGTGAGAGCTGCTGCTTTAGCTCTCAGCAATCCTCCTGCAGCCCCCAAAACCAGCAGCCAGTGCTGTCAGGATCCTGGCAGAGCCAGGAAGCTGCAAAGCAGGAGACAACCCAGCCAGGAATTCACACTCGGGCTGCCCTGGCAGTGAAGTCAAAAGAAGGAAAAAGACTGAAAACTTTCAAGCTAGAATTAAGTACAAAGCCCAGCAAGTTTTCTAAATGAACAATAAGAGTGCTCCTTCAAGAAATGAGGTTCAGATCCCTCCAGGCAATCTCTCAACGTTCATCTCACCTTGCAGGGAATGGCCAGGAAAAGATGTGCAGTGGTGTCACCCCTGAGACAGGTGGAAATGAACCTCAGCTGAACCTCCTGGGGAGACTGTGCAGAAAAGCTGGTTTGGCCCAGAGAGGCTGTTCCAGAGGATATTCACTCAGCAGCCCAACCTGCCTGCCTTTTTGGACCAAGCAAGAAAAGCTGGGGCTGATACCTGCAATTCAGATGGTCACTTCCAGTCCCATATCCCTGTTCCAGAGCTTCTACCTGCCAGAACACCAACAGAGTGAGAGGCAAAATGGTCTCACTACATGTGGCAGGTGCTGGTCGTTTGTTTCCCACCAGAGATCCTGTTATCAAAGATTTGCTCCTTCTCTTTGAATCAGAATCACACTTTGGCAGTGTGAATGCCAAGCAGAGACTATTTCTGGTGGAACATGGAGAGGCAGAGCATGCTGAGCCATCCTTCTGCTTGTTGTGTGCACCTCAGGTACAGGTGTGTGCTGCAAATACCTGTCAAAGACTCATTTCTAGCTCTCCCACCTTTGTGTTTTAAATTTCAGCCCTGCTTCTTGCAGCAGGAGTTGTTCTCCTTCCAGTTTCACAGCACCACACCAGATGCCTTTGAACGTGACCTCTGCAAGAAGCAAAACCAGCACAGCCTCTCACTCGAACTGCTGCTCCATCCACTTCCCCGAGGATGATTCCAAAATCGAAAATATCAATATCAAACCATTCTCCTCGTCAGCTGCTGCTGGTGAGAGTCACTCTCACAACAGACGTGCGGGGTGGCAGTTTGCTGGGTGGCATTGCCCTCTCCTGGCCAGGTTCAGCACGGCCCCAACCCTGCTCATTCCGGGAAAAACACCTGACAAAGCCCTTTTTCCTGCCCCTTTTCCTGCTGCCCAGACCATCTTGGCACCCCCAGCGACACAAACCTCCCATCCAAGGGTTTGATCAACTCCTTCTGTTTGCCAGCTGTTTTATCAGCTCTGCTTCTCTTACCAGCCCCTGGGAAAGATCCGGGGCCACAGTTCAGCTCCTGCTAATAAATCTTTTTGGGGTTGGGAAGAGAGAAGCAAAGGAGGCTGGTTCAGAAAGGGAGGCTGTGAGATCCGTGAGGCTGCAGTGAGAGCAACCCCAGCTGCTGCAGCCAAGGCCTTGGTGTCACTGAGCATCCCCCTCCCAACCTCCCTCCCAACCAGCCCAAACCAGAGGCCAGGCACCAAAAGGGCTCCTGGAAAACTCACGGAGGAGGCAGGAGGCTGGGAGGTGTGTTTGGGCACCAGAGTTCCCATGCTGGGTGTCTCAGCTCAGCCCCGGGCCAAGGGGGATGCAATAATCCCTCTCCCTGGAAGCCTGTGGGGGGGGAAGGAAGAAGCAAATGGATTAAACACAAAAGCATTTTATTCGAGGGAAAATATCAGCAAAGTGTCTCTATGTAAGCAAACCCAACAGGGGAGTTGCCACCTTCTTCCCTTGCCTGCAGGACACGTGTTTCAGGGCTGCATTCTGGGGGAAAGTGACACGTTTTTGTGTTTTCTTCCACATGAAGGGGTGTGTGGGCTGGTTGGGGGGACCAGGTGCAGGGAATGGCAGGGGACTGGGATATTGGGATGCCCGGGGAGCAGGGTGGTCATCATAGAATCACAGACTGGTTTGGGCTGGAAGGGACCTGAAAGATCATCCAGATCCACCCCCCTGCATGGGCAGGGACACCTCCCACCAGCCCAGGCTGCTCCAAGCCCCATCCAACCTGCCCTTCAACACT